GCAAAAGTCGCCAGCAGAAATCCTGGTGGGAAGAAGACTGAAAACGATCCACAGCCTGATGCATCCGACTAATGCACCAACATCAGTAGAGACAAAGCTGCAAAGGCAATCCTGTTTTGAAGTTGGATGCCCTGTGTTCGCCCGTGGCTACTGAACAAATCATGGTCCTTGGGTAGATCTCCATTCCCGAAATATCCTCTCAGACAGCGGAAAACAACAGTCAGGATGCAAGTCGAACTCAGGAGCGTACTCTATTAAAAAGGGGGGAGTGTTGGGGATGTTAGATCCCCAGAACTCGCTTGATAAATATCTTTATTTTGGATTTATTTCATGGACCTATCAGTTGACCTCAAGATCACATTTCCCAAAAATAAAAGCGTTGGCCGTGGTTGGTTACTGTGTCATTTTTGTGCTATATTTGTGACTGCCCCAAGGACGTCTCTATGGAGTATTAATAAACACAATTTGAGAGCCTTGATTCATTGTGTACTGGCCGGGTGTTTGTAGAATAGACTTTCCACGCTTTATCAAGACTTCCTGTTGGTTCGAGGGATCACAGTGGCCTGCCTGGACGATCGTTCATTGTATTGTTCTCGTATTTCGACTAAGGTGAACCCGTAATGGTTTAAAGCATACCTAGAGACTTGCGTAACAGCCACCTACTACTATTCAGTCGGATTCTGATGGGCGAGGATAAATCACAAAGGAGAATTATATCTAACTACTCCAAACATGGAACGGTTAGGACAGGAAGCAAACATGGAAATGGGAGTGATCACTACTCTGAGAAACCCTGTGTAGTTATGTTGTCTGTTCACTCATCTAGAACTCATTCATACAAATTGGGAGAGGAGGCTAATGCTTTTCAGGTTGAAAACAATTGCTGCTTTGAATGATTGAAAAGATACTATCGAACACCTGAAACCGTACTGAAAGAACAGGAACCGAGCGCAAAGAAAAAAGATAATTGGTTCATTCTAGCTCTCAAGATGATATTGGATATTGAAAGGTATGTTAAATCGACCTTGTTTGGCCTTGGTGTCCTTGATCAATGTGATTCGCTTGAAAAGATTGTCCGGTAAGTAGAGGATTTAAACTATGAATAAAGTCTAAAAAGTCTGTTTTTACGCTTTTCAAATTGTAACTAGTCTGGCGACAGAATCAACCACAAGCCGTAAGAATGATGTTCACTACACTGACGATTAGTTTTAAAAGCCAATCCTCAGTTGATACTTGGTCACCACCTAGTATTTGAGAGAGTTCGTATAAGGATGAATAATTTGCAATTTTGGAAGTGTATTGGCTATTATTATGACTGACTCACCTTGTTTAATACGTGCAGATATATGTACCTCACATTCACGTAATCTACTACGTTTTTTTCATGGTCAAGCAATGCTACTCAGCTGCCCTAATTAGGTTAGTTGAAAGAGAACATCTGAATAAATTTACCCATCAGGGTTTCAGCTAATATATGATATCAAGAGTTGTTTTGTCTGACTGTCTAATGTAAAAGCGAGTGGTTGGCCTCTGGAGAAGAATACAACGAAAACGTTTTGAAAGAGATTAATCAAAATGTAGATAGTGAGCAACGTTAACAAACATACTTTAGCATAAAAAGGTTAAGTGAGGTCACCATAATTTCCAAGCTGAATATTAGTATCCGGATAAGTACCGACGACTGACAGAATACCCAACCTAGTTTCAAAAAATTGTTTTCGAGCCCAGTATTGTCGACATCCAAGTTGTCTGTATATTCGCGTTCACTGGTCCTAAGTCTGAATTCCTTATTATCTGTACGTTATATAGCAGTGTTTGTTACTGAAAGGCATACCAAAAAGGGCATAATTCTTTTAAAATCGGTTTGAAGATTGTTTGCAACGGCCTTCTCACTATCTTAATGTACAATATTGCTTGACAACTGGTTTGAAACAATCCTATATTTTATTTGCATGTAGTAAATAATTCAGTCAAACAGTCAGTTACAACGGAGAACTTCTTACATGAGTACATAAGTTCAGGTTGCCATACCACATCAGCACAGAGACGTAACTGTCAGTTCGAATCCCATAGTGGTAGCGATAGTAGAGGTATTAATGGTAATGAAGAAGACAAGGGTTCGAAGATATTATTCAAGAAGTATGATTCTGTGAGATAAGGTTGGAAAGACAAAGGTAGAGGTGCTGACGAATCCAGAAAATTAGGATTTGAGAGAGCACAGAGAATGGGTGCACTTGTGCCATTGCAAACGATTTTGAGCCCTGTCGTTCAAGGTCTCTAACCATCGGTGCCTTTCGTATCGCGGACCCCAACCACGTAGTCTACATCTACCAACATGACTCAGTTCACTTGTCAGTGACTTCATGAATTTGATGCATGTTTTGGTCTCGCCGCCCCTAACTTTCTACCAACTTACTACTACACCACAAAACATAGCTCGTCGAGACAGTGGGTGGTTAGGCGTACAAAACACATGCCCCAACCAACTAATACTTCATCAGTTGATCTGCCATCCTTACCTAGAACTCGCTTCCTAATGGCGGCATTGCTTACTTGGGTGTCTCACGATACTCGAGCAATGCTTATAAGACATCTGTGATCGAAAACTAGTAACCTACGAATGTCTTCTACTCTTACCGGCCATGTTTCGCATCCATATAGGAGAGCGAAGCGAACTGCTACACAGTACACTCGACCTTTGGGTAGCAAACGGATATCTCGCCTACGCCATAAATAACGCAAGTTGGCAAAGCCAGTCGAGCTTACTGTATTCGTGCTGAGATTTCGTCAGTCACCTTAGTTACTTACTTACGCCTCTTACCCCCAATGGAGCATAGGCCGCCGACCAATTTTCTCCAACCAACTCTGTCCTGGGCTTCCCTTTCCAATTTTGTCCAATTTTTGTTCATTCGTCTCATGTCTTTCTCTATTGTTCGGCGTAATGTGTTCCTTGGCTGTTGTAAAGCTTGCTTAGATAATTCCCAACTAAATCCTATTGCTTAGTATTCTCTGACCACAATACACTGAACAAGTTACCAAGAACCAAAAACACGGTTGAACAGAAAAAGATTATATTCCAAATAGCAAGGTTAAATGGAAATAAGAAGCCAAAGGTGATGCCGAAGGCAAGAAGGCGAAAATAGATACAACGTTAGTCTATTTATAGCATTTACATGAGAAGCTTCTGGATAGAACTTCACGTGATCGGCTGGATTAGATTTAACCAATCAGAACGCAGCTAACAGTACGAGAATCTTCTACCCTCTTCTCCAAGATTCGATCATGCGCTGATTGGATAGGAAATTAGCCAACGTAGCCATGCTTTAATTCCATCTATGTCCCACTAACACCCCCTTTTGAAAAAATTCGTAGGATCTGGTGCTAGAGTCCAACTACTTCCTGGGTGCCTTGCCACCCGTACTCTTACAAGCCGCCTGCTTTGTAGGTACCATATCTTTAAACAACCGTCGATTGGGCTGCTTCCGCACCGATAAGTTCTATTGAGGCTCATGAGCAGCATATGGTATAGGGCGTCTCGGACGTGAAACAGGTTTGGCATCTGCTTTCACTGGTAGGTTAGCTTTCATATTCGTACAGCGGCCAAGGCTATTCTGAAAAACAGAGGCTGACTTCCTCTTCCGTTTATCTTGTAACCTTTCACCTGTCTTCTTTTTAAGTATCGGGGTGTCCAATGATGAACATGATACGCTTCAGACACTGCTAATGGGTAAATCCATTATTCCCAGTTTTTCTAGCATATCTAGACCAAGAAGATCAAGGTTTGGCCGTTCTGTCAGATAGCATATTCCTGTACATTTTGTTCCGTTGAAGGAAAATTCACACTATATCTCACCAACCAGTTTCAACACACCACCTGAAGCGCTTTTAGCTGTTTTCTTAGAAGGCTTCGTTGGCGGTTTCCCCAGCAAGTTATACGTTTCTCTAGACACTAAGGTGATATCTGATGCCGTGTCTATTTGAAAGCGAGCTGATGCACCGTTCATATGGATAGTAACGTACTTTCTCCGAACGTCATAGTCTGTTTGAAAAGCAGCTACGAGAGAAAGTGATTTAGACTCGGCTAATTTCACCACATGTCGAGTACGTTTGTGCTTCTTCCTGGGCTGAGACGTACGATTTGGTTGACAATGGCCTTCTTTATGTCCACGTTTGTTGTACATCTGATATTTATGTTTTTTAAATGGACAGAATAGTACGTAATGCCAATCACCACATAACCAACATGCCGTCGTTGGTTTGTTACAAGATGTTTTCGGCTTCTGGACTTTTAACCTAGTATGCTGGTTGTCCGAGGGAAACACCTTACTGATGTCATACCCCTCTGCAGTCAGCAGTACGACTTCGCCCTCAGACCTTGAGTAGTTGCTGCTTTTAGTCTCATCGTTCTCCAATCGACCTGCCTGACATGGTAGAACGTACAGAAACATATGTTCCAGCCAATATAGCTCGGTTGGTTGGTCGTGATAGGCAAGTTGGACCACCACGTCAAGATATCAGCTCCGGTCGGGTCGATGGTTAGAGACCTTTAACGACATGACTCAGAATCGTTTGCAATGGCACAGGTGTGTGCTTTTTAATTCTAACCTTCTGAATTCCTCATAATCTCTATCTTTCTCCTTCTAAATTTATGTCACTGAATTATACTTCTAGGATCATATCTTCGCTCCCTAAACTTCTCCATTACTGCTAATACTTCTACTATCGCTATCACTCTTGGATTTGAACTGACAGTTGCGTCTCTGTGCTGATGTTGTTCCAGCCAATGTAGCTCAGTTGGTTGATCGGGATAGGCAAGTTGGACCACCACGACAAGGTAGCAGCTATGGTCGGGAGTAAATAATTCAAAAGCATTAACTGCTCAATTCGCCTTAAAATTTTCATCACCATTTGTGAAATGATGTTTAGTTTCATCTCAGTATAATATCCTAAATGTTGAGTTTTACTATTATTCCATAAGTTTAGTTCTTTGAGTCTATCTACTCTTTCCCCTACGAGTTATGTTTAATCTTTTTACTGTCAGTAATTCTGACGTTTAATTTTCCTCTCTTTAAATTTTATCTTTTTTCGTTGGACCACTTTGGCAATTTGTATCAACTAAGATTTATTGCTGACTCAAATAATAACATGTAACATTGGTTATAGATAGTTCTTTGTTTGTTTGTGACAATGTTTAGTATCTGTCAGAGTTCGTATTATAGATTGTCCGTGAATTTCAACTTAATTATCAAAGAGATATCATTCGAAATGCATCTCTAAACATTGCCTCTATTGATTTTCTAAGCGACTACGCAAATGAAGTACGTGAGACTAGTGATTTTATTATGCCTTGCCTATGAAACCATTCAAAATAAGATAAAATGATTATTTTTTTTACTTCTTAAAAAATATTGTTTCTCGAAATTGAGTTAGATAATTTATTAATTTTTAAATCAAATATTATATAATATTGACAATATTTGAAAAATGCAATTAGTTTTAGTATTTAAAAGTATCAAGCTGATCGACAGTCCCCAGCCGTGATTGTCCTTGTCATTAGACACCGGTTCTTGAACCAACTATTCCCGCATACTTGGTATAACTTTGAACCACATTCTACCACTTCGAATCCTGTATTGACGAAGTGTTTCTGGGAATTAACAAAACATGATGGTTAGATGATTATTGAAAAACACTATAACGTAAAAGTACTACATCAGGACCTCTAGTTGAAGACAGTGGTATCGCCTTAATCTATTCAAAGTGATGTAAATGTACTTGAATGTATACTTGCATGCATGTGAAGACCATTTAGCCACAAATGACTTTAGGTTGTGGTCAGAAACACATTAAGTAATTTATCTTTTTCAGTTAGTTACAACATAGAACTTCGTGTTTTCGTACATTAGTTCAAGTTGTCATACTACATTACCTCAGACGTCATTGTCAATTTACATCCCATAGTAGTAGAGTTAGTAAAAGATTAGTGAGCGAAGATATCATTCGGGAAGTATGTCCCAGAAGGATTGATTAAATAAAAAAAATTCGGTGATGAGGAATTCAGAAGATTATGATTTGAGTGAACACAAAGCATCGATGCATCCGCACCATCGCAAACAGTTTTGAGCTATGTCACTCAAAATCCCTAACTACTGATTACTGTAATCTCGTGGACTCCAAACAGGTAGTCTACACTTAACAACGTGAATCAATCCAGCTTTCAGTGACTTCATGGATTTGTGCTATGTTTCGGATTGGCCACCCCTAGCTTTCTTCCAGCCAGTGACGCAAGTTGACAAAGCCAATCGAGTCTTCTGTATCCGTGCTGAGATTTCGTCATTCACCAGACCATCAGTCTTGACGAGACTCCCGAGGTATGTAAGTGAAATGGTCGACACGCCCAAGTACTTTATCCCTTATCACTAGTTCAGGTGCCAACTCAAGTCACTCTTGAAGCAGCATTTTGCATTTCGATTGGGAGAATCACATCCCAAACATGCTTACATTGTTGCTTAGGGTAGTCAGAAGACTTCGCATTTTTTGTCAGCGTCTTCACCGGATAGTTTTATGTCATCGGCATATTCTAAGTTAAAAAGTGAGTCTCCTGATAGAATGTCGACTCCTGAAAAGTCAGACGAAGATAATGTTATCTCTAGAAACAGGTCTATGACAAAATTAGACAAGAAAGAGGAAAGTGGACATCCCTGACGGACACCACTTGAAGTAATAAATTCTGATAACATTTCACCATAAGCTCTCACTCGACCAGTGGTGTTCGAATAGAGAGCTTGTATTAGGCTTAATGTACTTCTTTGGTACACCTATCAATGACGGACACCGCTACAGAACCTCTCGATCTACATAGTCAAACGCCGCTTTAAGGTCCAGGAAGACAGCCATAGTCGGGCGTTGAAATGTGTCTGTGTTCTAGGACCTGTCGTAGTATGAATGTATGGTTGATACAGCCCCGTCCAGGTTTGAAAGTGGATAAGAACTTAGAAAACTAACTATCAAAGTAGCCGAATCCAAAAACTATCAAAAATTACTCGATAAGTGCCTGAATAATCGATACAAATAAATCATTAGTAAAGAACATATACTAAAACATTTTGAGAAAAGAATTGAAAAGACGAAGAAAATTGTTTGATAAGCCATATCAGGTCAGAGAAGGAATATGATTCTGTACACAGACTATAGTCGTTTTGACTTTTATCCTTACAACTGGTGTATGCTGGAAACGAGATCAAAATCCCTTTGAGAAATGATGAATAGATACTGGTGATCACATATAATGGTCTAGTTCTTTCTGCCTCGTGAACACTGTCAACCATGTGTAACAAAATAGAATTATGTTTTGTCGTTGCTCTCAACTATTCAAATCACTGGTCACCCATTCACTTGTTAAGTTGACTGACATAGTGGTACACTAAGTAATATCTTCCTCCAAAGGAGCATTTGAATTTACAGATTCATATCAAGGAGACAAAGTTCATGACATAACCTGCCTAAACTTAGTTGATTCATAAATATGTATTATATTATCAGTTTGATTGATTGACTGATCGACAATTAGTTACACAATTTTAACAATACTCAAAAAAATCTACATCAATACTAACTGAATACAATAGATATTAGTTTACATTACCAAAGATAGTTGGTTAGCAAAAATGGCAACATTGTGTACACCAGCTGCTTTGTATTCAGTGCATAAGTAAAGTTGAGTACTCTCCTCTACAAATTGTCTCATCATTAAACTTTTAATCAATTCAGAAAGTGATTGATCAGGACCATTATGTAATCGAATATATCTTAAACGTTCATTATTTCCAGATTCCAATAAGAGACTAGCACAAATATCTCGTTGATAAGTGGATGCTTTGAGAATCTTGATATAAACAGAATAAACAAATTAGATCATAATTAGATTACTATTGTTAATGCTTACATGTTTTCTTATTGTAATATACTGTGTAACACAATGGTGTTGTGTGTTATCATTAACAATGGGATATTTATTATCATAACTGGAAGAAATTATCAAAGTATTGTAGTGCCTCCACATTTATTTGCATCCGCTTACATTTAATTTGCTTAAGCCCTTTCGATTAATTTATTTAACCAAGCCATTTGCTTAGCAACAACTCATATGTACCATTGGTATTTTTTATTATCTGCTTTGTATGAGCTTGTACGACTGAGCACTGCTTACGCTTACGCACTTACTCATCGTTTTCGCTTTGATGTTAATCTCTTAATTTTCCCATGAACTCACATGATTTGTATCGCTTGTCATTTGACCTTGTCAATCATTCGTCGCTTTTATTCATGTGTGTGCATGCCTATTTCGCTTTTCATATGTCTGTCCTATTCTTATCTGACTATATATTCTTAGTCATACTCTATCTCTTTGAGTTGGCTCACTAGCCTTCTCCACGTCGCTTCGTTCATTCGCTTGCATTGTAATCCAAAGAGTTGGCTCACTAGCCTTCTCCTATTCGCTTCTCCAATTCGATTTGTGGTGTGCCTTGAATAAACGTATACGATACTTGGAGTTCATCTTCTGATTTATTAACCGTCAGACGTCATCCGGTAAATATAGTCTGAACGAGCTCATTACGAAACGTAAGAACACGCAGTAAATCGGCACACCTCAGTATAAAATCTGATTTTACAAATCTCAATTGATCTCACTACCACTAATCATACAGATTCTATTCGTTTTTTTTTGATGATATTTTCCATTACTTATTAATTTTGATTAACGCTAATATACTTATACTACTACCTCTACTACTACTACTATGTGATTTCAATGGACACTGTGTGTGTTAATGTGTGGTATGGCAACTTGAACTGATGCACGTACGTACGAAGTTCTAATTTACAACTAAATGACTGATTGGATTATAATTTGATGAATAGTTTTCGGTTTTAAGAACTGTTCAATAAAATGAATATAGTTAACATATTGAAGTGCAATAATAATACTAATAATAATGTGAGTTTGGGGTTAACCGCACACCAGATTATTTTTGAACAACAACAATTCAAATTAACATTTGTGTATTATACTATACTGTGTTATTTGAGAAACTGTCTATAGTTTTTTTTTATCTTAGTTCTTAGGGAAAAAACACAAACTTTCTAATGGTTTATGATAAATTTCAGGGAATGGAATTGTACTACCTACCTACCTACCTTGTCTGCGAATATGTTAAATGAATCTTCCACGGTGTGGGCAGCCGGGAAGTGACAACCGCCCTCATACCCGTAACAGCACGCGAGACCGAATTGGTCAAAATCAAATCCTTCCTACACCCCCTTGTACCTCTCTTATCTCCACGACTAACTCTTCTCACATTCATTCATCACAATGCAGACGATACGAGTTTGCGAAACGTCGTTCCTGGTCTCCTTAAACCTCGCTCTAGACTACATGTTGGAGCATTTACTTGATGAAGACGCTGATAAAATGCAGAGTCTTCTGACTACCCTAAGCAACAATGCAAGCATGTTCGGGATGCGGTTTTCCCCCTCGAAATGCAAAATGTTGCTTCAGGATTGGGTTGCATCGGCACCTGAACTAGTGATAGGAAGTGAAGTGGTCGAACGTGTAGACCGCTTCACTTATCTTGGGAGTCTCATCAGTGCTGATGGCCTGGTGACTGACGAAATCTCAGCACGGATACAGAAGGCTCGATTGGCTTTTGCCAACCTGCGTCACTTATGGCGTAGGCGTGATATCCGTTCGCTAACCAAAGGACGAGTGTACTGCGCAGTGGTTCGCTCCGTCTTACTTTATGGCTGTGAAACAATGCCAATGAGAGTAGAAGATACTCGTCGGTTATTGGTTTTCGATCATAGGTGTCTCCGAAGCATTGCTCGTATATCGTGGGACAACCGAGTGAGCAACGCTGTTATTAGGAAACGGGTACTAGGTAAGAATGGCAGATCAATAGATGAAGTAATGAAACTTCATCAATTGAGGTGGTTGGGACATGTGCTGTGTATGCCTAACCACCGACTGCCTCGACGAGCTTTGTTTTGTAGTGTAGAAATAGGTTGTAAGAAAGCTAGGGGCGGCCAGACCAAAACATGACAGAAATCCATGAAGTCATTGACGAGTGGACTTAGCCATGTCGGTAATTGTCGACTACCTGGTTGGGGTCCGCGAGATGATGATAATCGATGGCTAGAGACCTTGAATGACATGGCTCAAAATCGTTCGCAATGGCGCCAGTGCATTTATTCTTTGTGTTCTCTCAAATCCTAATCTTCTGGATTCTTCAACATCTTTAGTTTTTACTTTCTAAACTTATCTCATTGAATCATACTTCGTGAATAAAATCTTCTAATTCTAACCTCTCCGATTACTTCTAGTACCTTTACTACCTCTTCTACTATTGGATTTGAATTGACAATTATATCTCTGTGCTGATGTGGTATGGCGACATGAACTGATGTACTTACGTACGAAGTTCTACGTTGCAACTGACTGACTGGCTGATGTTAAATGAATTGTGATATGCATATATATTTATGCTTTTATTTCTAGACGTATCAAAGTAAGAACGAGACCTGTTGAACACTGGATAAAATTTTTTTTCTTGTTTCTCTACTTCAAAAGTATTCATTTTAAGTATGCTCTTCATATATTGTAAACAAGTGCTTCTCAAGTATCATATATTATGATTCAAGTTTTTTAAAATTTCAGTTTTTATTCGTTATGTGATTAATTTAATCCTTTTATGTTTGATGAGTGAGCGATTTATTCAAGTCTGAAACGCTTATATTATCGCCTTATTTCAAAACAATTGGTTTAGAAATAACCTGTCATAAAGATTAATTCACACTAAAATTTACTTCTGGGAATGCTTTATTCAAAAGTTAGTTTTCATCATAGATTAACATAGACAGGAACAATCAATAGAGGTTGGAGAGCACTGAACCAACTGAACTCTGTAGTGGAAACTAACGTCAGTCCACAATCTTCTCAACCAAGCATTCATTATGTGCTCACTAATGACTAGTTTTAATAAGGACTTTTAATAAGAAGTTGCACCCCAAAAGTAAGTTACTTATCCGCTAATCGCATTGAATAATTGTCTCACTATGTCGCTAATTCACCGAAGTAGGAAATACAAACTGTGTTCATTTCTGAATGAGTTAATATAAGGATTACATTGTATTAGCTACAAAATGTGAAGATTGTTTACTTGACGCGTGATTAGAACAAACCACTTGTCTGGTATTCTCTACATGACATTGTTTCCTCTAGTTGTAATAAGAATCCCCATGACTGAAATCAACTTAAACTCATTGACCATCTTATGTCTATTTATCGTGTGATAAATAGCCAGTTTCTTTCATAAGTCCATTGTCTGTTTTATTTTGTTGTTGTTGTATTTGAATCAGTCAATCAATAGCAATAGCAACGTAGAACTTCGTACGTACGTACGCCATACCACATTATCACAGAGACAGAAATATTAGTTCAGATCCCATAGTAGTAGAGGTAGTAGAAGTATTGGCCGTAACCGGATAGATTGGGGTATGACAATATAATTCGAGATGTATAACCCAGAGTAATTAGTTGGAAAACGAGAAAAACTGTCATAAGCAATTCAGAAGATTAGGATTTGACAGAACACTAAGAATAAATGCACCCGCGCCATTGCAAACGGTTTTGAGCCATGTCATTCAGGGTCTCTAACCATCGATTATTATCATCTCGTGGGCTCGAACTAGGTGGTCGGCATCTACCGACATGACTCAGTCCACTTGTCAGTGACTCCATGGATTTGTGCCATGTTTTGGTCTGACCACCCCCCTAGTTTTCTTCCAACCTATTCCTACACCACAAAATATAGCTCGACGAGGCAGTCGGTGGCTAGGCATATGCAATAAATGTCTCAACCACTTCAACTGATGAAGCTTCAGTCCTGCATCTATTGGTTTGCCATCCCTACCCTAGAACTCATTGTCCCATCATGATACACGATCAATGCTACAAATATCTTCTACTTCTTTTTTATTGTATTTAAATATATGAACTAAAAATTTTTCAGCCTTACTTACTTGATGCATATCATCTTGTGCATTACCTTGTTTCGGATCTAAAATAAGCATTACACCATATAATTCATCATTGTGTACTTGTCGCCAAACATACGATTTAAATTGTCCATTGGATGTATTCAATGCAGCTTCAAAATATTTCAATGCTAATTGATGTATAACAATTTTACACATTTCATCTTTCGATTCTTCTTCTTCTTCTTGTAGTAGACCAGCACATACAATTTGATGATCATAACGTGTAACATAGTTTTTTAATTCAGCCAACACATCCAATAGATCATTAATTGTTAATTCTTTTGAATATAAAAATCCTGAAAATAAATCTAAGACAGAAAAAAAAATAGAACAATGAGAGAAGACGTAATCTGATGTGTAAAAATGTTATATGATGTATACATAGTTCGAACAATCTGATCACACACACATGTATACTTACTTGTCAAGGCATTTTTATGGGAAGATGAATAAAAGGTCAATTAAATAAAAGTTTAAACAGACCGAAGGTGATCATTGTAAATAAATGAGAGAGAAAATTGACATAATATGAAAAGAATAAGAAAGGGTAGGAAATGGTCGTAATAGGGCGTTCGCGCACAATACCGAAGGTCCTGGGTTCGAATCCTGCGGGGTGCAGGAGTCGTGGATGCGCACTGCTGAGGAGTCCCGTACCAGGACGAAACGGCCGTCTGTCAGTGCTTCCAGGTTTCTAATGCCGGTGGTCTAACATTGATCGATTCATGGTTTCAAAAAAAAATGTATAACTTAACAATCTTCACAACCCTGTAATACAAACTGTCACATTACCCTAGGCTTAAAGATTACCAGGGTAAATTCAAGGTTATAACAAATTGTTTCTGCGCACATTAATAGGGGGTTTTTAAATTTCGAATAGCCAAGGCCTCCATTAACCTCAAAATTCGTCCTTCAACATTTCTATACAATGTTTTGAAAGCTGTTTTGATGTCATTCTAATGCCCTGTCTGAATGATGTGTTTCGCGATCGATGAACATAATTTTCTATTTCCAACGCTAATGGGCTCATCTGACGTTAAGTGATTTTGAAGCCACTCAGGTACATGTTCCCCATAACCCTTGATTGCAAAGTTCGATTACTCCTCCCTATGTGTGTATGTGTGTCCACACAAACATGTAAATTGATAAATGCAATGGGATGTGATGTAATCATTCGAGCAACATTTAGATCTATGTGAAATCATGGGCTTGGTCTTTTCAATGATAATTAGTTTAGCAGCGTTGTATGTTTTCTCTATGGCTGCTTTTAGTTTCTGTCTTAATATTAGACCATTTGCTTCACCTCTAAATGATAAAGTGATTAAAACATTTTTCTTCTCAGCAGAATGAAAAACCGGCTTTTGTCTTAACTGATTTCCTTTATTTACAATTATGTCTATTTGAACTTTTATTTAATTGACCTTTTATTCATCTTCATATAAAATGCCTTGACAAGTGTGTATATATGTGTGTGACCAGATTGTTCGAACTATGTATAGCGCGCAAATACATTAAATAAATAGTTGTCTGCTTCTGTATATAAAAAATAACTTTCAAAAATAATAATAATAATAATATGTGAATTAAAGTATTACGATGACTGACACAGAACATGTAGAGATTATTGTATCATGATAGCATAGAAAATCACTGTTCTCTTAGAAGATAGTTGTATTTTCGACACAAGTTCGAGGTGTTTTTCTCGAAAACATATGACCGGAATCCTAACTCTGGAACTGGATCAACGGAAACAAATTCACTTAAATGTAGTTGGTATGAAGTTGATGATCAGTAACTAATGAATGATATGTAAACCTATAAATGAAGCATACCTTGAATGCCCCTGGTATTGTTGAAGGTGGAGATAGTGTACTGTGTGCCGACGCGTCTATAGCCACTGCATAAGAAGTCCTACTTACTACTTTTTTAAGGTAGGAGTGTTATTTACCAAATTCAGAAGATCAAAATCGAATGTTCAACGCTTAGGCTGAATAGGTCTCACCTAGAGGAATCAAGAAATCTTAACTTTGAACCGATGACACGCGTGGTCTCCAAGATCTTAACAGAAAAAAATGGCGTATGAACCTGTTGTTCCTCACTGTGTACCATGGGACTACATCACCTGATGTTGCTCCGTTACTTTGTGGATTAGAATATTAAATGTAGATTACAATTATGAGTATGTTTCCATCTCGAAAAAAAAACGACCTGCTTCGGTTTGAGGGTCTGGACATGTTAGGATATTCACCAAATATCGTAAGAGTACTATTTTTAGAAGTGTAATCCCATTGGTCGATTTCTATTGGTCAAAATTATGGTCGTTTTAACTGTCAAAGTCAAATACCGCAATCTTGTCTCTTATTGGTCATCCGGACTGTCAATGTCATTTCAAATGTTCTTTCCTATTGGACAATACCGTAGTAGTCCATCCACAAATTTTATCAATGGAATAATTAAAAAATGTTTTCTGATTAACAAAGTGTATCAGTGCCATTTACTTACTATCATGTTCATTATTAATAATCTGATAATTACTATCCAATTTAGCATGTCCGAAAAGTTTTTTAATTGTAGAAATTTTTGCATACATCATATGATCACTAAGAAATACAATCCATATAATGAGAAGTGAACAGAGTTTTATTGATTTCTTAATTTGTACTTTGTTAATCATTCTGAAATTAAAATTAACAACTAAAAAACAAACAAAAAGAGAAGAAGACGTATCATCAGCATGGAAATGACATTCGAGAATAGTCACATTCCTATATACATACGTATATATATATGTATATAGACTACTGGTGGTAGTTTTCAATGTTTCTTTCAAAAAGTAATTGATTCGACGTTTATGTTCGTCGGGATACGGTTCTCCCCCATCGAAATGCAAAATGTTGCTTCAAGATTGGGTGTTGCATCGGCACCTGAACTAGTGATAGGGAGTGAAGTAGTCGAACGTGTAGACCGCGTCACATATCTCGGTAGTTTCATCAGTGCTGATTGCCTGGCGACTGACGAAAACTCAGCACGGATACAGAAGGCTCGATTGGCTTTTGCCAACCTACGTCACTTATGGCGTAGGCGAGATATCTGTTCGCTGACTAAAGGAAGAGTGTACTGTGCAGTAGTTCGCTCCGTCTTACTTTATGGCTGTGAAACATGGCCAATGAGAGTAGAAGATAGATGGAAGAAGATGTTACTAGTATTCTATCACCGGTGTCTCCGAAGCATTGCTCGTATATCCTGGGACAACCGTTAGAAAACGAGTTCTAGGTAGGGATGGCAGATCAATAGATGAAGTAATGAAACTTCATCAGTTGTGGTGGTTGGGACATTTGTTACGTATGCCTAACCACCGACTGCCTTGACTAGCTATGTTTTGTTGTGTAGGAGTAGGTTGGAAGAAAACTTGGCGGGCGACCAGACCAAAACATTGCAGAAATCCATGAAGTCATTGACAAATTGACTGAGTCATGTTGGTAGATGAAGACTACGTGGTTGGGGTCCGCGAAACGATAGTCACCGATGGTTAGAGACCTTGAACGATATGGCTCAAAATCGTTTGCAATGGTGCAAGTGCATCCATTCTTTGAGCTCTATCAAATCCTAATCTTCTGGATTCGTAAGCACTTTCTCTACCTTTGTCTTTCTAACCTTATCTCACTCAATTATACTTCTTGAATAATATCTTCAAACTCTAGTCTTCTTTATTACCATTAATACCTCTACTACGTTTATCACTATGGAATTTGATTTGACATTTGCGTCTGTGTGCTAATGTGGTATAGCAACCTGAACGTATGTACATATGTACGAAGTTCTACGTTGCAACTAACTGAGAACAGATAGATAGAATGTCACTAGCTGCGGAATCCTGTACACTCGTTTCAATCTATTCAGAGCTTGTCGATCGGCTGGATCGTTACTTCTGGATTCGATTGCTAGTCATATTCTGTCTATTCTATGTAAATTCATATTAATTCACTTGTTTCTGAAGTTAAATAAATTTATCAACATGTCATCACTGAAAATCTTGTTCACACTGTTACATTGGTACAAATTCTGTTGTTGCCTCAAGAGAAGATGAACATTGAAATTGATCGAAACAGTATTATTAAAATTTTTGTTCATTATTGTAAATTTAATTTCATCATTGAAAACTCATTATTCCTAATGATGAAATCATAGTCTTTTGAATTTGTGTAAAACATATCAAATTGTCCTTAAACTCTTTTTTTTTGTTTTACTGAAGCAGTTGACTATACTCTAATCAAATTAAATTACGTGGTTGTGAAGATTGTTCAGTTACACATTTGAAATCATTTAATCGATCAAAGTTAGACTACCATTAGAAACCTGCTGGTCCAGAGGTTATACTTTCGTGCGCAAGATTGAGGCTCCTGGGTTCGTATCCTGCTAAGTGCAGGAGTGGTGGATGCACACTGATGATGAGTCCCATAGCAGGACGCGAAACGGCCCTCTAGTGCTTACAGGTTTCAAATGGTCATCTAACTTTTTGGTCGAATTAAATTGTACAAATGTGAGTAAAGTGAAACTTCCCGCTCATAGAAATATTTTCAATGATTATCATTTTTTTTCTGGTTCTAAATTTGTGAAAAAAAATTTAGACGTGATAATGACACCGAGAACAGTAAACGATGTTGAAAATGAAAAAAAATTAATCCCAAGAGATTTTTTTCATATTTTTTGCATTTTAGATTGATGTGATTTTGTGAATTTATTTTGCAATGTGTTGTTATGTAATATATTCATTAGAACAGAATGATGAATTATGTCACTGTGTATTTCATAATTAATAAATTATGTAGATGACAAGTCGAACTTTTTTATCATACTTCACTTCAATTCGTGAATATGTATGTAAACTATCGTTTTAATGATAAGATTGTAGAGATTATTGAGTAGTTTCACTGAAATCATACATAGAAGCACTTAACGGCTGTTTCGTGTGCTGTTACGGGTATGGCGCAGGTGAGATATTCGCTTGTTAACCAAAGGACGAGTGTACTGCGCAGCAGTTCGCTGTGTCCTACTATACAGATGCGAAACATGGCCGTTAAGAGTAGAGGACATTCGTAGGTTACTAGTCTTCGATCATAGGTGTCTCCGAAGCATTGCTCGTGTATCCTGGAACGACCGAGTACGCAATGCTATCGTCAGGAAACGAGTACTAAGTAAGGACGGCGAATCAGTGGATGAAGTAATGAAACTTCATTAGTTGAGGTGGTTGGGACATGTGTTACGTATGCCTAACCACCGACTGCCTCGACGAGCTATGTTTTGTGGTGTAGGAGTAGGTTGGAAGAAAGCTAGGGGCGGCCAGACCAAAACATGGCACAAATCCATGAAGTCACTGACAAGTGGACTGAATCATGTTGGCAGTTGTCGACTACCTGGTTGGGGTCCGCGAGACGAAAGTCATCAATGGTTAGCTACCTTGAACGACATGGCTGAGAATCGTTTGCAATGGCACAGGTGCATCCACTATTTGTGTTCTCCCCAATTCTAACCGTCTGAATTCCTCATAATCTTTATCTTTCTCCTTTTAAATTTATTTCACTGAATTATACTTCTCGAATCGTATCTGCGAACCCTAATCTTCTCCATTGCTCCTAATAATTCTGCTATCACTATCACTCTTGGATTTGAACTGACAGTTACGTCTCTGTGCTGACGTGGTATGGCAACCTGAACTGATGTACTTATGTACGAAGTTCTGTGTTGTATCTGTCTGGACGGCTGTTTTTGCTGATATTGAACTCAGTGGTAAAGCTCATGAATGACCACTGCACGTTGGAATCATACCACTAATCAAAAGAATTATTCGTAAATGAATTCATGCGAATGATGTTAATAGAATATTGACTTAAAACACTTTCTTTTCATTAACAAGTCCGTTATTCATAATAGTTATGTAAGGGTGAAAAAATAAAAGCAAATATCTCAAGAAAAAGATGGGGTAACAATGAAAAGATCAAAAAGAGAACGAAGCACAAAGCTTGCACCAAGAGAAGTGATGTTTGATACACAAAATGTCTGGAATTGCTAAGCTTGTGAACTTGCTACACGTTGTCTAACTGCTATTCAAGTCTCAGACTACAATTGAGAAGGAAATAAGTGTGAAACCATTAACAATCGACCATTGTTTCTGTAAATAACTTAGAACTCATTCATTTCAAAGGTGAAAATCGGTCTACCTACACTGAGATCATCTTCATATTTTAATAAAAGTGAAGAGTTAGTAAAGATGTTGAACACTTTCATTCCAAGTGCACAATACTGTTCCCTACTTTTGACAAGTAGAGGAACACAGTGATTAGTCGTTTTGTTGGTATAGATTCAAAGGCAGAAATATAATTTAGAGATATGCATCGAATATATTCTCTATTAAATAGAGGTCTAAAACTATCAATAAAAGTTGGAATTTTTGTACGCACAACCTATTTAATATTTGGTACTTTTGTCAAATTGTAGTCATAGATGATGCTTCACTAAATAGCGACAGTTTAGAAAGCTATCAGGAAATTGAACATACATTCAACTTCTGTCATTTTTATATCATTTACATCTTCAATCAAATGTACATTAACTAAAGTATAGAACTCAATCGATCAATCAATAGCAATATAGAACTTCGTACGTACGTACGTACATCAGTTCAAGTTGTCATACCACATTAGCACAGTGATGTAATTGTCAATTCCAATCCCATAGTAGTAGAGGTAGTAAGGTATTAGCAGTAATCGGGGAGATTACGGTTATAAGATATTATTCAAGAAGTAGGATCTAGTGAAATAAGCTTAAAAAAAAGTTTAGGATTTGAGAGAACACAAAGAATGAATGCACCTGGGCCATTGAGTTACGTCATTCAGGGTTTCTAACCATCGATTATTATCATCTCGCGGGCCACAACCAGGTAGTCGACACCTACCAACATGACTCAGTCCACTTGTCAGTGACCAAACACTGATATTACTAGGTATTTCTCACAATTTTTTACGATTGAAAGGGTCTACACGTTTGAATACTTCACTCCCTATCACTAGTTCAGGTATCGATGAAACCAAGTCGTGAGGGGGATAATCGCATACCGAACATGCTTTTATTGTTGCTCATGGTGGTCAGAATACTCTGCATTTTGTCAGCGTCTACACCGAATAGAGCTATGTCATCTGCATATTCTAGGTCAGTAAGCGAGCCACCTGGTAGAAGGTCTACTCCTGAAAAGTTAGATCAAGATAATGTTATATGTAGAAGGAAGTCCATGACAAAATTGAATAAGCATGGTGAAACAAAAACATTCCTGATGGACACTACTTGAAGTAAAGAATTCCGCAGACAGTTGGCTATAAGCTCTCACTCGACCTGTAGTTTTCGAGTAGAGAGCTTGTATAAGGTTAATTTACTTCTTTGGTACACCTTTTAATGACAGACACTGCCACAGAACCTCTCGATCTACACAGTCAAATGCTGCTGTAAGGTCCAGGAAGTCAACAGTTGTAGGATGCCTATATGTGTGTCTGTGTTCCAGGACCTGTCTGAGTGTGAAGATGTAGCTTATACAGCCATGTTCAGGTCGAAAACCTGCCTGGTTTTCTCTAGTCTGCTCTTCACGAGCTCTAGTTAGGCGTCTAAGTATAATTGAGGCTAACAATTTAGAAACTATATAAGTC